GCTGTGGTTCTGGGCGCTCGGCGGCAGCAGTGATATTATTCTTCAGCGCTCGCGCTAGGTGGTCTCCCCATGGGGATTTTGCTGAATTTGTAAGCACAAGGTGCATAGCGGGGTAGGGGCAGAAATTCCTGATGGTGTCCTATGTGAAAGCAGTTCTCGGGTTAAATGATTTGCAAGCCCGTGTTTTCAACAAGAGCATTGGTAGGGATTTGTGCAGTGCAGTTACCTACCCTGCCCTTGTTTTAGATGGTTTGATTTCCTGTCTAGAGAGTAGCTTCCTCTGCCCGCTCTTTCCAATGTAAGTGGTTTCTGAGGTTATTTTTAGACTTATTTTTGAGGCTGAATGTGAGGGGCTCCCTGACAAATTACGCGTGGGCCCTCCCCACGCTGCCGTCGGTGTGGTGTGTGGTAGTGTGCTTCGTACAAGGAAGAGAAGCTTTACGTTACGGAAATAGTAGGGTTGGCCGGCTTGCTGCTACCTAAACCTAGCAGACTGTGGGGGGCGCAGGCCTGGGGGCTCTCATCCCGCTCTGCGATGTAAGCTGTGCGGGCTGTCGAGCGGGAGCAGACACGCGGGGTGGATGGAGGGTGCCTCGGTTTCCCTAAACGAGCCCCCGCGTTCCTGAGGTTCCTGAGCACTTATGAGGTCACGCGTGTGACCTCGCTGGCCGGCAGCGCCCAGGATGCTGGCAGGGATGCCGTCGGTCACAGGTGAGGGCGAAGCCCTTGGCAGGGCTCGGTCCCTGCTCTGGCACGACTTTCGGGAGCCGGGACGCAGGGCAGCCTGCTTCAGCCCTGTTTGCAGGGGGAGGATATTGTGATTGTAAAATGCTGGTACCAGTCTTTACAGCTGCAGAAAGCTGGTTAGGGGGCTGTGACGTAACTGTTGCTTGCTGACTTAAGTCCTGAGTGCCAGTGGTCAGGAAACTCGAGCGAAACTGAAGGCAAATATTTTCGGTTTGGTTAGCTAAGGTAAAATTTAAAGAAATGAGGTTAAGTTGCTACGTAATGCTATAGTTCAGAGGTCAGTATGTACGTGTTTGTGTAAACTAGGGTTCCTAGTGATCTCGTCGGAAATGACTTGAAAATGAGTCTTTCAGCACTACAAGCCAACTTGTAGTTGCACATCTTTACATGCAGTATCATGCCTCTCCTTCAGGTTCACATGAGTTGTCCTGCCTTGCATATAAGGAAGTCTGTTTTCCTCTTTTGACAGGGATAAAGTTGATTTTTATGAAGAGGCAGAGTCAGTTGACTAGATAACTATAGGAGAAAGGAATATTGTCCAACTTAATAGCTTTACGTGAATATTTGAGCAAAAATAAATTAGCTGCTGTTGCTGCCTCTGCTTTCTTGTAACTTGATTTTTTCCTTTCCTTTACTGCTGTGTGTGTTTGTATCTGCTATGAGATGTTATATCTTTCTTTGATAACTACATTTTTAATAACTTTTCCATTTCATAGGAGTTATTGCAATCAGCCACATTAATGAAGCAATTGACCAAGGAAATCCTGAGAAAACTCTAGAAGCTCTACTGTTACCCACAGCCAAACTGCAAGATGTGACACCGGTAAATGCACGGCATTATCAGGATGTCCTGCACTATGCCAAAGCACAGAAATGCAAGGTTAGAGCTTTAAACACTGCTGCTTGTTGGAACGTTGCAATGCCAATTCTTTTTACTTACAAGCACATCCCTGTACCAGTCCCCCTGGTGTTTGGACTCATCGTGCCAATGAGGTGGTGAATAAGCCACTGATGACAAAATTTTCCAGCACAACTTGTACTGTGACTGGCACAAGGGATTAATTCTCAATATACTAATACTAAGATGTATTCTGCATGTATATCACTACTGACTGGATGTAACCTTGATTATTGTTAATTCTGCTAGGTTGCTGCAGCAATCGCAAAACTTGCGGACAGCTGCCTTGACATAGTTACGAAAATGTGCAAGCGTCTAGTTACCAGGTTTAGTGTCAGGCAGGAGGCTACAAAATGAATGGGATGTGAGATTTTTTGACAGAAGTGCGGAGCTAAAGGAGTCTTGTTTCCACGAACAAACTTCTGACAGCTGTTTCATTGAGGCACCTTCTTTGCTTAAATTTGGGGTTTTATAATAACGGTTTGTGTGTATTTCTGTCCTGCCTTTGTCATATTAACAGCACTGTCTTCCTCATACATGCCCTCAAGACTAAACCCGCTGCAGCATGATACCTGTATCCGCTTCCGCAAAAGCGGTGCCCTGGTTAGCGTCAGCATGGGGAAGCATAAACAGCAGAGAGGATATGACCTAATGCAAGATTAGCTAAAGCTACTAGCACAGCACTTAATATGTCCAGTGCTTGGAGAAGACCCCTAAAATTCATCTGACGTGTTCCCGAAGTAAATGTTCGGCTGGAAAAGCCCTCACACGTTGGTGTGTAGCAGTGGCTTCCCGCTGCCTTGCCCCCTCGCCTGCGGTGCCCGCTGTGAGAACAGCGTGTGTATCTGCAGCCGCGGTCAGAGCTCTTGAAAGAGATGGGGCACGAGCCTGTTCCTTGCACGGGAGCCGGGCTGCCTTACCTGGCTCCCCAAAGCCTTGTCTCTTGCCCAGCGCCTGGGTGCGTTCAGTGCATGCTGGTTCCTTGGCGCGCCCTGGAAAGGGCAGGAGTTGGTGCCTGTGTGCAGAGAGCGCCTGTGCAGGTGCTGTCCGCGGGGTGCTGTGCCGGGGCCGGCCAGACTGCCCGTGGGCAGCGAAGCTGGGGCGTCCTGTGCCTGCGCGAGGAGCTCCCCACGAGGGCACTAGGAGCGGCCGCTGCGGGGCTCCCAGGGCACAGCCCCCCCGCTGGCACCCACTGCATTTCCCCCAAAAATGTGCTGAAGGGGAACAAACGTTGAAGGTTTGGAACAAAAATTGTGTAGGTCTCTTGAAATCTTGCAGCTTGGAAGCATTTGGGATGTTCTTAGGCACTTCAACTGACCTTTCTCTCCCGGGGTTTTCTCTTGGTTTTGCAGCCCATTTACAACTGCTTTAAACATGTCCTCTTTTTTTTTTTCCCCCTTCCCTCTAAAAAAGAGAGCAAGATACTGTGCTGTACATGCTCCCAAAAGACAGCAACTGAAACATTTCCATCTTAGATGCATTAATATGAGTTACTCTATATACCAGCTAATGACATTGACATCATCTTTCTTTAGACAAGGGTACTGTTTAGACTGAGACTCTTAAAAACAAGCAAAAACCAAACAGAATCAGAAGGGCTATGCTGTAACCATAAAATCTATCCCCCGCCACTTTTGAGCCCTATTTTTAAAGCAAGTCTATCTTCAATTGTGTTTGGCATGCTTTTAGAGCAAACTGTGGAAGAAGGAAGTGTTTGATTTACAAGGATTAGACAGGTCTGCCTGTGAACTTCCTGTATTCCCCATTGTCTGGAAAAACATTTGTTTCAAAACTGATTGCTTATTCTAACCATTCTGCTGTCATGTCCCTGTAATTGTGTGGCTTTTGATAACTACGATCTGCATCCAAATCTCCCCATTCCCATTGTAAGTCTTAATCTCAGTTCACGCCTAGTTGTTCCTTGCTTGCAAATGAAAATACAAACGTGGAATTTATTTATTTCTATAATTTTATACAACAGCTTTTAACAGTTCTCAAAGCCATTTCAAATCAAGTGTTTGAGTCCTAATGAAGAGAAACTGTGTGATTAGGAAGTGCATTATGGATACCTGAGAAGTTAAACAGATGTGCCAAACCTTGAAATGGTCCCCATGTTATTTTTAATGACAGACACACAAGTTGATGGCTTTTACAGTCAAATTGGCTATAAAAGCAGAAGTTATTACAATAACTATTGAACATCTAGATTAAGGATTTTTTTAATATTTATTCTTGTGCATTTTATGGAAATGGCATTATTAAAGCTTTAAATTAAATGAGGAGCCAGGAGCCTTATCAGACTATTAAAAATAAAATCCTTTGCACTGGAAAATGGAAAGTAGCTCCAAGAATTTAAGTAAAGTAATGCTTCTTAAAATGCTATATGAAACTGATGTAAAACTCCCTTTTTCTCATCACCGTCTTGTACGCTGCAGTGACAAATATGAACACCAGCCACTGAGTTCATTTAGTAGGAACTTGCACCCAGCGTATGTAGATTTTTGAGTCTCTGTAAATGTGTAAGCTAACCCTTTGCTTTATTAATGTGGACAATTAATCATAAGTGCTCTCAGTGTTTGTAAGGCTTTAGGTATTTCCTGTGAGGATGTGGAAATCAAGAGAGTACTATAGAATGACTTCCCTGTTGTGCTTACCAAGCAAGAATAAAGCATGCCTGGATTCCCGCTGATAAGGGTTAGCCTCTAGCAGTGCTTGTGGGTTACAGGCGCGCAAGAGCTGACAAAGTGGAAGAACAAGTCTCCAGTGCAAGGCTAGTTAAGCTGCCCAAAGGAAGATACTTGCTTGGGAAGTGCATCTGCGTGTGGTAGTAGATTTACAGCCCTTGGAAGCTGAAGGGACTCTGGCTCTTCATTTTCATCATCCAGGGCAGTATTTGCTCTTGACTTTGTAGGGATGCGTAGATAGGGAACTTCTGCAAAGCTGTACAGCCCCTAGACACAGAGAAAGTGCTTTTATTTGTTCCCATTTCCATTGGTGCCAAAA